CGAAAGTGTCTTACTTGCATGCCACTGACTCGGTGTGTTCATATACAGAGCTCATTAATATTTATACATTTGCTTTGCAGTAAAGACGGTAGCTGCGTAGAAATCCGTTCTAAATCAATCAAATGGATATGACACTTAGAAAACCTCAGACATTAAGATCAAACATGTACGATTCCATTTCAGCTCCTGTCGTTGCGCGGGATATATATAGAGAAAACCGCGCGCCGAGTAAAGTCGAGAGACAAAAGGCGGCCCTTTCTTGCATTTCCGGCCAAAAAGTAAATACGTTTGGAAAATGTTGTTTTCCATGTGATTTGAACTTCTGGAATAATACATTATGTCAAGTTTTGAAGACAAAAATTCAACTAATTTTTAAGAAATGTATGATCTTGTTCGAGTCGAGAGTACCATTGCGTGGTTTTCAAAGTGTGAATTGTTCCAAAGCTTTTGTTGAAATATTGACTAAACGTCATGGGAAATAGACATTAAAAGGAAATCTCCAGTCACATTTGTCAACTAAGCAATTTCTTTTAACCAAACAAATTAGAGTTAGTCGAGGGATTTTTTTCTTATCTGATCGTAACGTCTTAGTACAAAATGGGAGATGTAGAAACTTTGCTTTGTTGTCTCTTTCCCCCTGCCACCACAATTACTGCAGACACAGAGCCGATCCATTGAAAGAAAAAACAGATTTTTGAATACTTTCGGATGCCATTTCACCAAATACAAGGGGACACCTGTTGCACCATTGCTAATAATCTGCCGAACATAAAATGCGATGTTTAAGCCACTTAAAGAGAATCAAGAAGCTTTGTTTACATTTAAGTTGTGCTTAAATCTAAAAACAAAATGCAAAATAGTTTCCTATTGCAACTCGACGCCACGGACAAGAAAATGAGGATCTTTGACGATGATATTAAAAAAACAAATTTGATTTGTCGCCCATGTAGAGGTGCGTGTCGGATTTCACTTGAAATGAATCAGTTGAAATCGATCCGCCTGCTATAAGTTGCGGACAAAGAACATGCCACCTGACTTTATTATTTCATATATTCAGTGAGCCTATTTACAGGACTGGCATTCTCCGAGTGGCATTTCGGTATGCCCGTGCCATTGTTGTCGTCATTTCCCTGGAATTTTTGATTGGTTCCTTTCAGCGGTCCCCCTCCCAAAATCACATTTGCGTTGACAGTTGAAAACCGAGACCGTGAGAAACCAAAAAATGGTAACATACGTTTTTTTTTTCAGTTTTAAATTATTTCAACTCGCTCAGAAAACGTTTCAACCAATTGCAAAGCGCCTCTTTTGTGTGCAATTATCGCCTGAGCGCGAAAATAGCAGGAAATAGGAATGAATAAGAGCAAACACGGAATTCATTAAATTTGCTGTTGGGTGTAGTGTCAGTGGTGTGGATCTGAGCGACGAGAGATATGCACTGCCACAGGAAACTTGTATTACCTTCCAATGTACCATGCAAACTTTCGAAATTATAACAATCACCCTTAGCGTTTTTTTTGCTTTTCTTTTTAACTTTCCTGTGACCCTTTCTTACATTCGCAGGATGCTGGGAAAAACGAAACTTTTTTCCTAATGCTCCGCTACACGCGCACTTCACCACGGAAAAGTGACTAGAACGTTTTTATTTCATACACGTCGATGAGCTTCCCATGTCTGTGACGGAACGCTTCGCTTACAGTGGTTTCTGACACTAAATGAGATGGCTCAACCGTCTCAGACTGTCCCTGAACTACGCACTGTTTTTATTATGCAATCGAAGTTTCGCTCCCAGTCTTTTCCTATCTTTCCTTAACTTTTAATAGTGCTTCCACTCTTTACTCTCAAACTATTCCCTATAGGATTTGAGGTATTAAACAGCGGGGTTCAAAGTTTTGAAGAATATCGAATACGATGTTCGTCCTAGCGATTATATGAAAAACACACTACATTCCAGCAACCGAATGAACTAACTAGGCAACGCTAGCTGATAGGAGGATGGAGTAATAATTGTTGGTGATAATTTTGAAATTATGCATAGTGATAATTTTAATTAAAAAACAATTCACTAATCCGCGTTCGATGCGCGCGTAACGCAACGCAACGCTTCTCTGAACACAGGGCCACAACTTTTATACGACATACTACTAAAGTATTATCAGTATTTTGTTACTGGTTGCCATGGATGTCCTATAATATTGTAGCTGCACTTACTTACGTTCAATCTAATAACAATTATGTTACAGATATTTTCACCTTTCGACTTATTGTCGATTATGTCTGTCCTGCTCAAGGGAGAATACTACTAATTGGCATAGTTAGTTTTCAATAATATCTGAAAGAAAGTTGGCAGTATCATTCTTCCGCGACATTTGTGGCCATTTACGAAAAGTCAATTTATCATAGTTTACATGATCCTCCGTGATTTTGAGTAATTTTTAATTAGTTTTTCATCTACTTCTCACATTTTAGATAATTTGGATTCCGAAGGTGGAGAACTAGTGGCATATCACACATCAAAGTGTGGTACTTATAAAGAATATCTTTTTGTTCCAGTTATTTTGAATACACAATATTTCATCATAGAGGTTCTTTCGATGCGAGGAATAAGCCAGTTTAAAAAGAAGCCCATAATCCAGCGTTCGGCGCGACTGACATCTCAGTAATCGGAAATTTAAAGAACAGCACTACTGCGAGTGGTGTCAACTGGCACCCTGTCAACAACCTCAAAGTTAAACTCACATATATTAGAAAGATTGAAATACACTAGAGTTCGCGAAATATTCATGGTTACACTGTCTAGGTCACTACCTTGATGCGTTTCATCTTAATTTTTCTTCTTAAGTTAAGGAGATTATGTCGAAGAAAGAAAGAGAGTAACTATTCTGTCAGTCCTTGGAATACACAATCAACTCCAAGTAGATGTGGATCATCAACTCTTATACACAGCATCTTGATTCTGACTATACACCCGTATTTACAAAGTTGAAAAGGCAATATAACGGTTGGTCGACAAATACACTCTAAATTCACAGCGGGATCCCAACAACATTTAGCAAGAATGAGAGACAAAAAAACAGTAGCAGTTTGCTTGTCAGGCTCTGTATGGCCGGCGTGGTGGCATCGTCGGACTTTTGAATTCACCCCGAACTAAGCAATCAAACTCGTACGAAGGACGCACAAATAAATGGTTACCTAATGTCGGTCTCATTTTCTTTGAGGACGTCAGGGGGGATAGAGAAGTTGAATCAACACTGCGAAATTGAGTCGATTAAAAAATAAAAGCATTACCGGGAGAAGCAAAGCCATCTTCAGGAAACAAAAGACAAAAATACGGGTTTTTAAGAAAACGTTTGATCTGCCGAAAAACATGGACACCGGTCTTAGGAAAAGGTTAATCGATGTTTCAACACTAGCAATTAGGCACGGGTTTAGGAGCAAATATTTGAGGAGGAGGGGGGACGCAGCGAATAGAAATGATGTGATCGAGGTCGTGCACAAATTACACACGCAAAAAGGCGATGCCACAAGTCTTAGATCCTCGTCCGCGTAAGTGAAAGGCGGACGAATCTCGATTGGCTCTAGAACGTTGGTGGGCTGCCATACGGGCAGTCACGGTGCAAGAAATGAAAATACTAGGCGACAAAGAAGGGAAAAGAATTTGGGGATCGAGTGGGCGTGTATGGCGATCTATCTGATACTTCACATACAAAGAGTTGGAAGTGATGACAAACACCATAGAACTCGCGAGATAATGTCGACTATTCACGATATAACTGTCCAACTTCAGCTTTATGTGTTTACTTGGCTCAAATTCTTAACTGGTTGCAAAAAACAAGTTGGTTTTTCTCCCAATGAAAGGTTACGCTACTTGTTTACCTCAGAGAGCTGTAGAAAAAATGATTCTTTTTTTCGCCGTGGAAGTCAGTCAAAAAATGAATGGCATGCCCCAAAGGAGCGAGCCTCTTCATGTCTTTTCTATTTTAAAGTGTTAAAGAATGGGGAACTATATTTGTCAGTCTGCCCACGCCGTAGAACATACCACCCCGTGATAAAAGAAAGTAAGAAACAAAAAAAAATGGTACCTTAAACTTGTGCGTGGTGCAATTTTCCCTTTCGCAGCGCGGAAAGTTTGTTGCGCCTGCGTAGTTTACATGAACTTTTCAAAACATTTTCCCGGTAGTAATATTGATGATTTAAATGCTTCGATGACTTGAGCAAATTGCAAGTCAACTTTGCAATATTTTGTTAAGAAAGTGATACCCCGGCCCACCCATGCACCCTTTGGTACAAACATCATGCCTAAGGTACGCCTCCCCCGTCTCAGTCTCAAACGGCATTGCGACGAAACAACAGGGAAACACTGCTGTAATACATGAAATAATTGGTTATATGTATCTCTGGGATTGTCATTTTCAATCGCATTCTGATCTGCATTTAATTTTAAGAACGGAAATGTACACGCTATTTTCAGTAGTACGCTGGCCTAGTAACAATACTGCAAAATGCTCTTGTATTTTGTGACAGTATTATATATGAATGCTCGAGCGGCAACAGCTCCACTACAAGGTTTTTACACCCTGAATTATCTAGAAGTGGACAATAACAATGCATACACAAGTAGAGATTTGCACGTATTGCGACACTGATATTTGGTTAATAAACCAATGACGCGATATGTTGGCAGTTTAGGAGAGAATTTCAGAGACTATGTAGAAGGTATTGAATGTAATATGAAAATTAATGTTTTTGTGATGGGTCACTGAATCACGTGTTTGTGTACCAAGTAGGTAATGTATTAGTTATTGAAATATGATCACATTGCGCATATTCATTCAACATCGTAATTTATGAGTATTTGCGGGCGGGTCGTTGAATTCAAATCGGAATGTCTTCGAGCGTTGAGTTTGTATCGTATAGGGTTGTTTCTTTGCACCTGTCCCTCTTTTACTGGGGCCAGTAGTTTCAAAATTACTTATATTTTCTATAATATTTTATGTACATACCTTGGTGGTCTGGCCCCTGTCCCATCATCCCGGCGTGTCGAAATCCTAGGATGTCGTGAACTGAATGTGAGGACGGCCACCTGAGTGCGGCTTGGTTAGTGGTTATAGATTTTGTATTGGCAGGCCCTGGTCCACAGGGATACGGGTACAGCGGGTTGTACATCGGTCGGTGGTGGTCTTTCACCGGGTCATAACCACTGTGCTGCAGATGCTGTATGGTGTTGTTGCCGACTTTGTTCCTCAGTATGCGACTGATTGAGCTGACAGAAGGGACGTTGTATTTGTCACAGACATTGTCGGCTATGAGCCGGTCGCGGATCTCCCAGGCAAATATACCCGGGTCCATCCGTTTGTACTCCTTTATGTGTTTAACGACAGTCGGCGTGGTCACCCTGGGTTTACTTCCCCCGATGGCCCCAGGGAGTATCGAACCGGTCTCGTTGTAGCGAGCTAGGATCTTGCTGACGCACCCGTGGGACACCCTCAGTTGTCGACTGATGTCGCAAGGTCGAATTCCCAGTTGGGCCAGTTCCACAATTCGCAACCGTATTCCGTTTGGTAACGGTCGGCCGTTGACGAACACGCCGCCGAGCTGGTTCACCTCCCCGAACGTTTGCTCTGTCATAAAAAGAAACAACACAAAGGTATTTAAAAGTCATCACACAAAACTTTTTTCTCTCTCATCACTACCTCTCAAAATTCTATCCCAGACTTCGAAAACTATAGCATCTTTTACCGTAACACCCTATCCAACCTACTCAGACTAAAAATAACTTCCCCATCCCGCATTTAGTTCTTCTCAGACTCCAAGTTCCCCCAACTATCAACAATAACAGTAAAGCACTACACAGCCTTGACTCCACGATTACTATGACAATCGCATCCTTCTACACATTCCAGCCTTCATTAATTGCCTTGGAAAATTCACGACGGGATTGTATAATATTTGATTAACGTGAAGACTCATATCCGATCAGAGCCTTCCATATGAGCCACCAATCGATTAGTAACGCCGCATTGCGAGATGAAGTAGGCGATACCGCGGATCAGAGAGATGTACGAGTGATACAAAGCGTCCCAATGCCACGATAATATACGATGCTCGGTTACAGGCAATTTAGAAACAATCGTCACGAAGAGGCTCTGAACTGTCAGTGTTTTGTCGATTGCCTCACAAGTATTGGCCACGATACAATCGCTTTCCGCTTTCCATTACCGCTGCCTGTTGACACACTGGTTTGAGCTATTTGCATTTTTTTAAACGATAAGTACATTCGGTGACGGTGAGTTGACTGGATGCGAGAGAGTTGCAACGCGTGTGTCACGTATACATTGAACGCCGCTTTCCAGATTACGGAAAGTTACAAAACCTTGACGTGTAAAAAACGACTATGAACTGTTATAAATTTACAATACTGAACGTGTTATTTTCACTGAATGCCACGGTGAGGAGGTGTCGAAAATTAATTAACTTCACCCCCGGGTCGTGTGATGAGAACGTACTTTACTCGTACAGTGGTGAGTGGTGCCCTGATTTAACTTTTTAGGCTGTTTTTCTCCGAAGCAGTTGAAATTATTACAATATACTTTGACTTTTGTTAATAGTTATAATAGTGAAACTGAGCCAGTAATTAATAGTCAATTGTAGTGTTATAAATTGCACAATTATGTTTCGGTTTTTATGACGAATCTACTGACACGAAAGTGCCAGACTGTCTAAGAACACTTCTAAGAACAATTCTACGCATTATATGCCTACTTTCGGCGAACAAACTCTCTAAATACGGGCAATATTTAAACAATTGTTCAAGCTTTTCATCAGTTATCACACAAAACGAATATGAATTTTGTTGTTACTTAATTTTATTGGCAAATGACCCCCAATGTGGTTAGCTCAAAGCAAACGTCACAGGAAAGGATATTATAGGCTTTTAGCAGACTTGAAACAAAATTTGATTATATCAAGTTATGTTATATACCGTTGATTTCCACGTTGTTTATTTCTAATGCGGTTATGGCTTATTTATGACCACCAGCCTTCCGTTCTTAACCACAGTGGCAAGTATTCGGACACATAAACTTGAACTGTCTGTTATCACTGTGAAAAACGCGGAACCGACATAAAACACGTTAAATTGTTTACCATTTAAATGAAAATGCGTGAAGTCCGCGGCCTGTAGTCTCGTGTAGTTAACAGTCAGTTATTTCCAGATCCACAAGAAGAAATGGATCAACTCAGACCATGAGGAAGAATAAAACATAATGTTTTTTTTTTAATAATAAATATCTTTAAAAGAATGCATTAAATTAAACACATTGTCGTTGGCATTCTTGGTATGATTTGTTTTTATCCGAACAAAATCGAGTCATTTTCAATCTGTTGGGATGTGAAAAAATTTATTGTGAAGGGAATTCATAATTCATAGAAAAATCGATTACATCGCTGCTCATTATTTTAATTTTTCTCTAAACCTATATGAAACTTGCACGTCCTTATTTCTAGCAAAAAAGTCTACCCAACGACCATAACACCGATGTTTAAAATTAACTTCTGACTCGATTACATGAATCGACTGGGAATATTCCCATGGTATTATGAAGGTTATCAAAAGGTTATACAAAACAATAACATTTCTAATTAAAGATTATGTTTTGGAAGAGTTTAAAATAATGCTTGATTGCGTTTCTATTTGTTTCGGTTGAACGAACGAGTTTACGTTCCGGTGATGCCGGCCACCTTCTCGCTTCAACGTTCCATAAACTGTTTTGGTGAGAATAAAGAGAAGGGAAGTTTTTTTATAAAAACAAAACAAAAAAAAACAAAAAACGAAACAGCTGAAACCTGGCGAACTGCGATATACGCATGGAACTGTATTTTACTTAATTAACATGAAACAAATCAAATAGTATAATTCTTCTACAATGATAGTATAAAATCGCGTGGAAGCTGTATGACTAGTCACTTCAAGTTAGTTGACTGATTCCGCCATCTTGAAATGCGAGGTGCCGGAAAGCACTAACTGCTAAGTTTGGAAACTGACTTATTTCTGCGACGAAATGGAAGTTGTCTGTTGGAGGTATTAATTTAACAAATAAACTGAAGGTATATTTCATATGATTCAATAAAAAGTGTTGCTTTATATGCGTATAACAGCTAAATCCAATCACCGTCCCCAAGTTAGTGCTCGCTTGCCGACTTGAAATCAGGACACATACCGATTTCGGACGGGTGTAAGCTAGTGTTTCTGTTCCTAGAGAGGACAACTTCATATTCACTATAACAATTTAGCGATAATTTTAGTTTGACGCACAGGCTTGTAAGTCAGTGAGTCGGCACTCACTCACTAAGAGAAGTCCCGCGTACGTATCAGACCACGTACAACCTATGTGGTCTGTTGTTGTTCTGTTTTGGTTCAGCTCAACCCTATACTAACATATCGGATATAAACAGTAGCTAACAAGCCTTCTCTAGCACCGTATCGCACCGTACCCCGTGACTGACCCATCACCGCGGATGCTTCCACCGCGCAGCGCCATTTCTCGAGTTCATGTACATTATCTCATTATCTTAAAAAACAAGAATAAGAAACAAAAATCGTGACATGCATTCTATATCATGATATATTTGTTTTCTAGCGCCCAGAACCATGTGACGTCAACATAGTTGTAGCCTCGCCACTAACTTATATATATATATATTGTCGGATATGGGCAAACAACATTCGAAAAATAATAACTTTTTAGTGACCCAAACACGTGACTTTTGTATATTTGTTCGGTCTCGTCGAATTCGCCTGGAAGGCCTGGGTCGTCACCGACTGGGTCAACGTTGAACACATCTGGAAGCGATCGGTTCTCTCATGGCGAGTTTTTGTTTCCATTATCGTTTACAATCACAGCTTTAAAGTCGACATTTAAAATCGCTAAAACTGTCAACGTCACCATTGACTGAATTTATAATCACCGTCTTCACTTCTTCAAATAATAATAATAATAATAAAACACATATAACGTTGTTTCGCTCGATGGAACAGTGTGTATATCATCGTTGTAAATACGAGTCGTGTATATTATTTGACAATTCCAGTGATCCGTGCAGAGAAATAAAGAGTTTGGTCTTACCCATGCCGTAATGCATCGATGATGTGTTTCTTGGTAATGGTCGCGCGTAGAAGACGGCGAAAAGGACTTAAAGCCGGCCAGTTACTTGGATCGCGAGCTTGAATTGGAGAAGACACGCTGGCGCTGCTTGATATCGGTGTGACAAGTGGCGGCACTCGTCGATATTATTAGTTTTTGGATGACTGAGAACGAGTTGTCGAAATAACGGGAGTGTCTTCACTGGTCTCACTGTTAGCCCTCGACCAAATAACACGCAGTCAGCCGCCAATGAGAGTGTATCTTGTGAAGAATTACTACCGTCTCTACGTACTCATGTCAATTCCTCCCTTTCTCTTGTGCTCGACGTGACTCACTATCGCCGCCGTTCCCCCCATAGCCATGCGTTTACAAAAACGCTAATTAATTGGGCGAGAGTCTCTCTGATTGGTCGCCGGGTGAAAAGTTGTCAATCACACGTCAAGTGTAGAAAGCCACACGCGTGCACGCTTAACTGTAAACGGGGGGTTCTATTTTTTTGTGTGGCGAATGCACTACAGTATGATGGGGGTATAAACATAGTAGGGTTAAAAGCGTCCTTTAAATCAATACAAAATTGGATAGACGCTCAGCTCTGTCCACACAGTTGTTTTCTAATCGTGTTTGCGTGTTTGGTTTGGTCAAAAAAGTAATGGATTTTTCAGGGAGGTTTTGAATGGAGCACGTACACTATGGCGAAGTGTATACCCGTTGATAGCAGAGGTAGAGGTAGAGAGGGGGGTGGATAGAGAAAGAGAGAAGGAAAAAGTTACTTCTGATATAACTTCCATGATGTTGATAATAAAGTTTGGAAACATTCTTGTGGTTCAGGTGGAAATTATTTACATTTCCCATGCAACTCGCACATTTTCATGCGGCGTGACGCGCTTTTTTTTCTTTTTCCTGGCTGGCTTGCTAAACATCAAGCTGTCATTGCATGTACTAATCATGCTACTGAACGTTACACCAAGCATTTCGTGTTGTGTACAAAAACGCTCGGTTACCAATATCATGCCAACGTGACTGATAACTTTCAGGTCTCAGACAGCGCGGATGACAGAGTTCGTGGGACTTTCTAATTGGGGAAGAGAACTCCCGATAGGGGGGTATTATGAGGGTGGGACGAGGAGGGGGATTGGTAAGCGCCGGGACTAGAGTTTTTCTCTTCATGTGTATCGCATCATGTAATGATACAGTGAAGGAAAGGAGGGGTAGAGTTGCGGTTGGATAGTTTTATAGTTGTCAATGTAAACACGGCGTATCGTAGCGGGTCGGCGTTTTCCTCGCCTACTACCATCTCTCTCACCTGGGTTAGCGTTATTATCAGATGGGTACCTCCAACGCCCTATGATCTCGAATGCAAGCGCCAGTCAGTCAGTTTCAATTGATGCCTATATTTTCCCTTCCCGCTTCTTAAATCCATACTCAATGACGTGTTGGAAAAACACCGTTAGACTAGGGGTATTGTTAGAGGGGGGCTTTGCCATTCATGCCACTGACTTAAGCCCGTTCAATGACTAAAGTCCTGACATGGACACCGTAATCGATACCCACAGCGATAGAACTGCGCCGTAACATGTCGTGATTGGGCTGGTTGCCACTGCAACGCCTCCCCCCTTATATATCGCAAAACTACCAGTACATGTACGTATTCTCTCTGTTTTGCTGCTCATTTCATTGACAGTTGGGCAAAGAAATGGAACATGCCAATGAGGGGACTTAGATTACAGGCATAATACTCGGTGATGTCAAGTATACTTTCAGATGAATACATTTAAGGCGGGACAGAATTCCCCCCTCGGGACGCTCCAGTGACAGAGCACTATGGTGCGTTTTGTGACTGGGCCTCGTAAAAGCAGTGAACAACTTTACGCTGTACTTGGATCCGTGACAGTGAATGAAGGGTTGGAGACCAACCCCGAAGAGACTAGCTTGTCGACGTACTTGAAATTCTTGGGAGTCCCTTTACTACCCCCCTCTTCAGTGATAATATCTTCATCATGCACTCTCGCAGGTAGCCGACTGTCTATTATTTGCCCATCATCATTCATTTTGAAAGCCCCCCATTTGCTGTCAAAGCTCTCGTGTGGGGCTCTCTTGGCTACTGTTCGTAGTCTATGCGCGGTCATTGTGGGAACAAAAGCCTAGTGTCACCCCAAGTGACCTGTTGATTCAAGCCCACGACAATAAAGACAAACACGCACTGTCCATATACTGCAGCGATACCGTTTGCTTGCAATTAAGCAATGCGGATAGAATTACAATTGAGGTACATTAGGGGCCCGTGGAAATTGTTTTCCTCAACAAACAAACAAACGAGCATGGTCATGCGATAAATGCCGGACACTGTTCGAAGGAAACAATTTGTTGAACACTTCACATTCATTGCTTTTCCCGCTGTTTACCGGATAATTGGAGCATCATTGTGACACATACACTATTCATTTTCTTCTTCTTCTCGAATTGTTCCTATCTCAGTGGAAATTGAACGTCGCCATGACAACAGATTTTCCCCACCTGTCCGTGGAAAATTAAAAACAAGTGGTATTGTCAGGTGCGAGCCGTCTATCATCGGGCAATATTTCCGATTGGGGTTCCGTTT